AAAAAAAAAAAAAAAAAAAAAAAATTTATACGAGGCCATGCGGGTTAGTCGGCAATATTAGGGGACTCAAAAGTTATTGCCCATTAGGAAAAACGTGGGATTTCTGCTGATCGCCAGAAGAAAGTTAAATTGTGTGAACTACAAATGGTTTTCTATGGTTATAAAGAATGAATTTTAGAAAGATTTCTACTAAAAATGTTTAGCGTCATGTTAAAATGTTTAAAAGTGTACATTTCTATTATTTGGAAAATCTAATTCAATATACTATCCATAGTCTCTAAAAATGAGCCTAATGACTCAAATTTTAATATAATACAAAGATATTAGTATAGAATCTTCTTTAGCTTATAAAATTAGAGAGTTGGTGATTTAATAAAGTTTTAAGAATGTGTTCTTGAATTATTAATTTATGCTTTGAGGCATATATTTGTTTCTGAAGTGCTGTATTAATATTGTGTGCTGGCCAGGCAGAGTTCACTCCTGTAATCCCAGAACTTTGGGAGGCCTAGGTGGGAGAATCACTTCAGCCTAAGGTTTCAAGACCATCCTGGGCAACATAGGGAGACCCCATCTCTACAAACAATTTAAAAATTAGCTGGGTATTCCTGTAGTCCCAGCTACTCGAGAGGCTGAGGTGGGAGGATTGAGCCTGAGAGATTGAGGCTGTAGTGAGCCATGATCTCACCACTACACTTCAGCCTGAGTGACAGCAAGATCCTGTCTTAAAAAAAAAAAAATGTTCTAATTCATTTTCTAAAAATTTCCATCCAAAAAATCTTTTATATAATCAGCTATACAGGTTTATGTTGCATACATTAGATATATTACTTTTATGCTACAATGGATTTTTATTTTTAAAGTGAAATCAAGTCAAATTGTTGTCATATAGTTGTATTTACATCTTAATGTTGTATTTTCATATTAATGAATTAATTTCAGAGAACTGGCATTCAGATAAAGCTGTTTTCCTTTTAGAATTAAACTACCAGACTAGTACTTTAAAAGAATGGTACAAATACGGTCCCCCTTAATTAGAATAAGGCCTTCAACACAGCTATTGTGGCATTCTTTTGATTGAGGTGGAGATAGTGCATTTAGTTGGTTTTATTGAAGAACTGTTTTCAAAGAATATTGCTTAATGTCTAGGTAACAGCCTGGAAGGAATTTTGTTTTTAATCTTAGGATCTTTTTTTTAAAAATAGCTGTTAATATAGAAAAGTATATAGATGAAATGTTCATGGTCTCACCACCCAGAGATCTCATTAAACGCATATACAACCTGATACATGTATATGTTTTTTTAAAAAAAGAAAGAATAAAATACATGCAGAGAAAGAATGATACAGAGTGAGGTGTAAAGTGAAACAAAGTCTCCTCCTTCTGACTTCTTTTTCCTTCTTTCTTTCTTTCTTTTTTTTTTGAGAGAGGATCTCACTCTGTTGCCCAGGCTACAGTGCAATGGTGAGATCTCTGCTTATTGCAACGTCCACCTCCCAACTTCAAGTGATTCTCATGCCTCAGCCTCCCAAGTAGCTGGAACTAGAGGTGTGCGCTATCACACCCAGCTAATTTTTATATTTTTGGTAAAGACAGGGTTTTGCCATGTTGGCCAAGCTGGTCTCAAAACTCCTGACCTGAGGTGATCTGCCCAACTCGGCTTCCCAAAGTGCTGGGATTACAGGCATGAGCCATCATGCCCAGCCCTTCTCCTGACTTCTAATACCCTCGTCCCTTTCCCCAAAGATTTGTTAGCTGTGTCTTAGATATCCTTTCAGAACAATTTTTTTCATAGACCCATAGAATACAGTTATGTCATTTAAACCCACTTACACAATATTACATGCACTTTTCTCTTTTTTTTTTTTTTTAGTCAGTAACATATCTTGGAGATTTTTTCCTACAGACATGTATCTACCTTACTGTTTAAGAACTGTACAGTATCTTATAGAGTACATATTTTTTAATTTGTTTAACCAGTCCTCTATTAATGATATTTAGATTTATTTCAGGTTAGTTTCCTGCCTGGCGTCATGGCTCATGCTTGGAATTCCAGCACTTTGGGAGGCCAAGGTGGGCAGACCACTTGAGGTCAGGAGTTCAAGATCAGCTTGGCCAGCATGGCAAAACCCCATCTCTACTCAAAATACAAAAATTAGCTGGATGTGATGGTATGTGCCTGTAATCTCAGCTACTGGGGAGGCTCAGGCACAAGAAGTGCTTGAACCCAGGAGGCGGAGGCTGCAATGAGCCGAGATCACCTCACTGCATTCCAGCCTGGGCAACAGAGCAAGACAGTCTCAAAAAAAAAAAAAAAAGATTTATTTTAGGCTAGTTTCCAGTCAGAACAAACTCCTACTTTTAGTTTTAGTGCCTAACACAATAAAATTTTATCACATCACAGCTGCATGCTGGTGGGAGAGCCCATCTCCGTCTAATAGCTGTGCCATCTGGTCTTGTGTTCTGTAAGGTCACCACAGCAAAAGAGATGGCCTGGAAAAGGCTCTAGCTCTTAATCGTCTTGCCTCTCCTTTCTTTGGCCAAAAGAAATATGTGTTTGACAGTTTGCAATAGCAAAGACCTGTAACCAACCCAAATGCCTATTGATGATAGACTGGACAGGGAAAATGTGGCACATATACACCATGGAATATTATGCAGCCATCAAAAACAATGAGCTCGTGTCCTTTGTAGGGACATGGATGAACCTGGAAACCATCATTCTCAGCAAACTGGCACAAGAGCAGAAAATCAAACACCGCATGTTCTCACTCATAGGCGGGTGTTGAACAATGAGAACATTTGGACACATGGAGGGGAGCATCAGACACTGGGGTCTGTTGGGGGAAATAGGGGAGGGACAGCAAGGGATGGGGAGTTGGGGAGAGATAGCATGGGGAGAAATGCCAGATATAGGTGAAGGGGAGGAAGGCAGCAAATCACACTGCCACGTGTGTACCTATGCAACAATCTTGCATGTTCTTCACATGTACCCCAAAACCTAAAATGCAATAAAAAAAAAAAAAAAGAAATATGTGTTTGAGACTGGGAAGTGTCAAGGAGCACCTGGATATTTGGAGAGCATCCATGGTCTCTGCCACTGTACCACCAGTGAAGTCCTGTATCAGGCTTCAGAAAGAAGAGGAAGTCATTGCTCAATTTGTCATCTGAGAAACAAACTCCACATGTACCAGCAATGTGCTCATTTCCCAAACAAGCCTATTAGCTGCATTACTAGATGAAATATTTTGATTCTAGGTGCCTCATTTTAGGAAAGATTGATATTGACACTGTCCAGGGACATATAGTCAGAACATGTAAGGATCTATAGATTTTGGTGTCCTGAAGGTTTTCAAAGACTTGCAGAAGAGGGCAATGGTTTGTAGGGTACAGAATACTCTTAATCTCTTATTCTGTGTGGTTCCCAAGGAGAGAACCAGAACCAATGATGGAATTTTGGGACGATTTCTCTCACACTGGAGGGTATTTAATCAGCAATTAGAGACTTTCATAAATCAAGCATAAACCAGATGACATCTATGAAGAATATCGTAAAGATTTTTTATGTAGCGTGGGAGATTGGTCTGGGTAATCTCTGCAGCCCCTCTGTAAATCTAGAATTTTGTATGACAAATGTCAAATGAATATTCCTTTGTCTTTTTAAATAGGACACTGATGAAATTCAAGTTAACTATCCTGGAATGTTTGAACTGATGGAAGATTTACAAGGTAAGGCACTTTAAGGAATTTTTAGACTCCATTGGGAAAGGTAGGCCAAAAAAAAAGAATTTTTCAACTCCATTTGAGAGAAACATTTTGAGAGCCAGGTCTTTGGCAGGCACTGGGCTAAGCACTAGGGATCCATTGTTGAGGAGAAAGCAGACCGTCTTCATGGAGCTTCTGGTATAAAATGGAGGAGGCAGGCACCAGGCAGCTGTCACAAAGGTAAGTGTTAAATTAGAACTGTGGTCAGTGCCATGAAGTAGAGGCACATATAGTGAGTGCTACAGCTGCTTGTAAAAGGATGCTGGGAGTTTTTTTGAAGGGTGCACTTAGGATGATAGAACACATTGGTGACTTCCTTCAGCCACAGTTGGCAGCTGAGATCCAGGCTCAAGAAAGAAGGTAGTTGCTTGGTTTAGGAGTAGGGTTTGTCAGGGAAAAATGTCCCAGTTTGGGAGATCAAAGAAGTCTTATCTGAGGGAGAGGCAGGTGAGCTATGCTCTAAAAAAAATGGAGATGTATTAGCTAGGTAGACATAGAGTGGGCGAGTGAGTCCAAGGCAAGGAGAACAGCATATGCAAAGCCCTTCTGTGAGAATGAACATAGCAAGAACAAAGGAGGGCATTTTGGCTGGGGTACACTGAGTGAGAAGGAGAAAGTTAAGTGAAGACCTTGGTGGGTCAATGTGAGTCAGAGATCAAATGCAGGAGCACTTTATAGGCCTTGTTACAATTGTTTGCCCTTATCTTAAAATGCCCCTTGAGGTATCTTAGAGAGGTAACAATATCAGACTTGTAGTTTGAAACGACTATATTGACAGATAAACTAGTCGTGAGATTTATTTCGGTAAAGTTTACTGTGAGGCGATGATGGTTTGTACGAAAGTGGTGGCAATGGAAATAAAGAGAAGCAGATGCATCCCAGACATGTTTAGGAGGTAAATTTACCGGTTCCTGCTGGTGGATTAGATGTGGGCAGATGAAGGAGAAAGACATTTGAAGCATAATTGCTGAATTTCTGGCTCACACAAAGAGATGGTGTCCTTCACTGATAGAGGAAACAATAGAATAATACCAAGTGTGGGCAGGTATAGCCCTCAAGTACACATTTGGATAAACTGGGTTTGAAGTGCTTTTGAAATACCTGAGGTGATGACAGGTAGGCAGTTGAGTATGTGGGTAGGTAGCTCAGAGGAAGCGACTGGCTTGGTTAAAAAGTTGGGTGTCATTTGTGAACAGGTAACATTCAGAGCATTTGCCTAGAATAAGAACATGGAGTGAGCAGAGAAAGTGGCTTGGTACTGATCCTTTAGCAGACGACAGCTGAGCGTACGGGGAGACTGAAAAGGAGTAGCCAGTAAGGTGTTCAGGAGAAACCTGAAAAATGTAGAATTGCCCGAACCAAAGGAAAGAAAGAGTGTTTCAAAACAAAGCGAGCACTTAGCAGCAGTAAAAGCAAACTGTGAACTGAAAAGTCTACAAGATTTAGGAGCAAGAATGTTATTGGTGACCCTGATGAGAGCTCTTTCATTGAACTGAGGAGAGTAGAAGGGAGTAGGTTGAGGAGTAAGTGGAAGGTGAGGAGCTGGAGACAGCAAATATATGCTGTTCTTTCAGGAAGTCTGGTGGTGAAGAAGAGGTGAAGGGTGGAAAGGTGACAGGTGTCAGAAGAGAGGAGAGGAATAGAAGTTGGAATGAAGTTTTTTTTTTTTTTTTTTTTTCTCTAAGACTTGAATTTATTTAACTGCTGACTGGAAGAATCCAAGTGCTTTCCTAGAAGAGGTGACTCTAGAAGAGAGAAAAAAAAAATAAATGATGATGACAGGTGACTGAAACGATGGGAGGGGTGTGATACAAAGGCCAGTGGAGGGGTTGACCTTGCTAAGGGGAGAGGCAGAGTTATAGCAGGAAGGGAGAAGAGGTAGCGCCAATGGATGTAGGTGTTTATGTTTGACAGCAAGAAGTTCCCATCCGGTGGGTCTATTTTTTTGTCAAACAGGAAGACAAAATGCTAAGAATTAAAAAGTCAGAGGTTTGAGAAGTGAATGGATCCATTTGAAATAGTCATTACAGGGAATGAGAAGGTGAACTGACCATCAGTATTAGATGGCAGCTCAGGACCAGGCACAGAAATCAGATAGTTGAATTAGTTTGGGTTGGGGGTTTGCTAGTTCAAAATGACAAAAAGACAAAGGGAAAAGACAATTCTAGGAGTGTAATTGAAATAATAGGTTAAAGAATCTAAGCTGGAAGAAAAGGGAAGTGGGAACAAAAAAGAGTGAGCTGATAAATTGGGAGGAAGAAGAGGAGCTGTGCACAGGTGATTCCAAGGCGGTCAGGGAATGGTCATGGGACACACTGGGGGGGCAGGAGGATATGGTCAGAAAATGAGATGCTTGATGATTTTGGAAGTAAAGCTGTTGTAAGTGATAACTAGGCCTGGGACATGTCTCAGATGTCAAGGTAGAGACAGAGTGATGGAGTGGTTGATTAGAGATGAGGTTTTAAAGTCTGGACTTGATGGTTATTAACATGAAGTCACCCAGGATGGTGGCAGTACTGGGAGTATAGAGGAAAACTGAGCCAAGTGCCAAACCTTTCAATGAATGAGGGGAGTGACTAGCCTGATGTCAGACAGCAAGCAGGAGTTAGGAGAAGATTACAGCCTTATGATGTTGGGCCTCAGCAGGGTGAAGGTGCTTAATAGGGTGGGGAAGTAATGGTCTGGAAGAGGCTTCAGGGAATAAGAAGGACACAGACCTAACTCTGAAAGAGGTGAGACATGCAAAAATAAACATCTGTTACTTGAAAGGGATGATGGAGAAGCAATTTCCTCAAAAGAGAGCTTCAACTTAGGCCGGGTGTGGTGGTTGAGGCCTGAAATCCCAGCAGGCGGAGGCAGGCGGATCACAAGGTCAGGAATTCGAGGCCAGCCCGGCCAACATGGTGAAACCCCCATCTCTACTAAAAATACAAAAATTAGCTGGGTGTGGTGGCAGGCACCTGTAATCCCAGCTACTTGGGAGGCTGAGGCAGGAGAATTGCTTGAACCTGGGAGGTTCAAGTTTTTTTTGACTCCAAAAAAAAAAAAAAAAAAAAAAAAGAGAGAGAGAGGGAGAGCTTCAACTTGCCTCCTTTGTGAGAATTTGTGAAGTGGTTCTTTTATATTTATACTAATGTCGAAAATAGTTTTGACGAATGGGGGAAGCTAAAGGGGTTAAAGGTATGTTCTGTGAATCCAGAACTACATTTACCTAGAGTAGCCTTCATCTGGATCCTGAAAAATTGTAAGATGATTTAAAGAAAGAGGACTACACAAATAAGTATCTAGTCTTTACTTACAGATTTGTAGTCTTTTGTGAGCATTGTTATACTTGCTTCCTTGTATTACAAGTGAGAAAAATTAGGCCCAAAGAGAACAGTTGCCTGTTAAGTGGCAGAATTAGATGCCAAACTCATGCTTCTTGACTCTGCCCTGGCACTGTCTGAACTGACTATGTTCCTTCTTGTAGTTGCCCATCTGTAACAAAGGTTCATTTGACCTATTGTGCAGCCTCCTGCGTATGGAGCTACTGTCGACTCTACAAACGGAAAGATGTGTAGCTGAAATCTTAGCACTGTTGTCACTTTTTATTCATTAATAGAGGGATTGGCAGCCTATGGCATGCATGGCCAAGATGACAGAGGATCAATAAGAGGAACACACACCCCTTCCCCAGAACTATCCCAAGGACTTACCTTACCCTGATGTAATCAAGGAGCGCCTTTATCCAAAGGCTTGAGAGATGATGGTGGGCTGATGATTTATCACTCAGGCTCTAATGATAAATTTATTTTTCAAATATACCATTTCTTTTTGTGCAGCCATAGAATCTGTGTTCATGATTCATTTCATGAAAGAAAAGAGAAAAATACTAGAAATTAGACTTCTCCGTTGGAAAAGATTACTTCCCACTGATTAAAAAATATGTACAGTGCTTACTTTGTGCTCAGTGTAATTCTCTGAGGTTTTTCTAATACCCTAATTTTACAGGTGAGCAAATCAAGACCTTGAGAAGTTAAATATCTTGTCCATGGTCACACTGAATCTGTAGTTACAATTTGAATTCAGAGTCCTATACTGCATATTTGATATGTATGTGGTTCTTTAAATTCAGGTTAACAACGTATGTTCAGTGAAATATATTAATCTTAAAGGTACAGCTGCTTGTATTTTAATCACCATCCTGACCAAAATATTGAACATTTTTAGTCCCCCAGAAGGTAGCCTGTTCCTCCTTTCAAATTGATAACCCCCTCTTCTCCTGAAGGTTTTTTTTTGTTGTTGTTGTTTTGTTTTGTGTTTTCAGATGGAGCCTCACTCTGTCACCCAGGCTGGAGTGCAGTGGTGTGATCTCAGCTCACTGCAACCTCCACTTCCTGGATTCAAATGATTCTCCTCCTTCAGCCTCCCAAGTAGCTAGGATTACAGGCATGCACCACCACGCTTGGCTAATTTTTGTATTTTTAGTAGAGACAGGGTTTCACCATGTTGGCCAGGCTGGTCTCGAACTCCTGACCTCAAGTAATCTGCCCATCTTGGCCTCCCAAAGTGCTGGGATTACAGGTGTGAGTCTCGCAAAGGTTTTAAATAGACCATATATTTTCAGTAGCTATGGCCTAATATTTAACTTTCAGATGCGTTGCTAGTACTTCTCTTTTTCACTCTAATGTTTGTTACGAAATCAGATGTTTTAGTTTTTGATATATCTTATCCTTAGGAATATTAAGAGGAGTTATTTAAACTTATAAAATGATATTTAACAAAATAGATATAATCATTAACAGGTTGGTTTTATACACATTCACTTACTTATTGAGCATCTACCCATGTGCCAACCACTGAGCCAATGGTGGAAATACATAGTTCCTGATCTCAGGGAGCTTATATTGTAGTAGGGAGAAAGAAACACACAAAGATAGAGACAGATAGACTTATGCATTCAACTGTAAAATGAAGTCATTTATAATAAAGCACAAGGAGAAACTGAGGAGGAAAAGGCCCTAAATCTGCTTAGGGGTCAGGAATCTTTTGCAAAAGAGGCAGCACCTAAGCAAAAATGAGTTTGCCAGGAGAATGAAAGGGTGGGTGGAGGTTTAGGGGAGCTAACATTGTATTCCACATGGCAGTAGAACAGGATATACACATGCTTCATGCTCCTGATTAAGGAACCGTAATCCAGTATTCCTTGAGTATGTAGAATGGGGAGATGATGGGAAATGATAAAGGATCAGAGGCTTCTGGATTTTTTTCAGGTTAGCATAGGAGATAGATTTGTGTGTGTTAGAAAACTTACCTTTCAGCATTGTTTATAAGGCATAGTTTATGAGGAAGATAAGACTAAAGCTAACATGGTTAATCTGGCTTTTTTTTTTAAATGTATGAGGAAACCCAGGCACAGATAGAAGTTAAGTAATTTGTCCCAGATGATGTAGTTAGTGAGTAGTAGAGCCAGGATTTAAACCTGGTCAAGCAGCCTGATTTGTATGCTAAAATCTTACCCATTCTACCATGGAAAAAGTTAGAGGCAGATGAGATGGGACGAATAGTCAGGGGATGATGAAGGCAGGGAGACCCTGCCTTTCAGGTGTGCTGTTCTGCCAACTAGAAGATTGTATTACTTCCAGATTTGTTTCTGGTATTTTACATTTGCGGTATATAATTTTTTCTTAATGGTTGTGGTGTGTCTTATTTAAGCTGCTATTATTAATTTACAGAAAAAAGTCCAGAATCTTGACCTAATTTTACAAAACAAGCTGCATATCAGCTGATGAATGCATGAGAAATTTTCAAGGCTTTCACAGTGGTCTTAAGGTAAGTTCAGTTACATTTTTTAAACAATACTCAGTATTGTTTTTAGTAAATCATAATAAATCAGGTTTATTTTAAATAAGCAGTTGAACTTCACCTTAAAAACACTGTGAGAGTCTTAAACAGTTAACCTGCTAGCCAGATTTTTCTGTTAACTCAAAGCCCAGGGTGAGTCAGAAGTCCCAAAGTTTCAGTTTTTCCCAGGTGGTCTTTAGTAGAGGTCCCCCATGATGCATTAGGAGTATTATTATTTTGAAGATGGCAGAACTGGAATTTGATAGAGGTTGAATGACTTTGCCCCAAGTTATGTATGAGTTAAAACTAGAAGTATGACCCCAAAGTCCAGATTCTTTCCACTACCTCACGCTGCTTCCTCAAGGAGAAAGGAGGTTCGGTGTGGCAGTGTGAGTGGCTTGTGAGGGAAGGTTGGAGCGCTGCACAGTTCCCCCCTGTACTCTGCAGTAGTACTCTTGAATTTCTGTATGGCTGATGTAGGTCAGAGCTTCACAGAATGTTATGCCTATGAATCTTAATTCGTATATCCTAATACTGATTGTTTAGAAGGCATTTCAGAATTTCTAGCGCATCATATGTTTATGTCTAAAAAAGCAAAACTCTTTTCTACTGGTGTTGTCCATAACTAATGCATAATTAAGCCATAGCAGCAAGAAGTTGAGCAGAAATGAAAGCACCATACCTGAGCAACAGACCCTTCCGGTGCAAGTCCCAGTTTACCTCTGGTCACTTGATATGGTTAAAATGTGAGCACTAGAAGCCTTTATGGAGCATCTAGTCTGGTTACTTTGAAGACCACAGGTGATTGGCCCAAGGTCATTCAGCTGCTTCATGACAGCAAGAGTGTGATCCTCCTTTTTCTTGATGATGATTAACCTACTAGTTTGTGTCTGTCGTTCTTCATGAATTGGGGCTGTTACACTTATAGGATTTAGTAGCAGAGATTCATTATTTTAGGGAATAGTAGAAATCCTTTGGGATTGAAGAGAAGAAAAAAGTTTAGGTGCAGCTAATTTGTTGATTGTTTTTAATAAGAATATTGAAAATGTGGTAGAATATTACTTTTAAACTATGAAAGAATACTGATACTGGTTAATTTATTCATTTCTTGATTTGTGAAAGTAGAAGAAAAAACCAAGAAACTAACATTTGTAGTAAAGTTTAATATAGAGAATACATATAAAGGACTTTTATTTCTAAAATTCTTTTAATTTTGCAGACTGGCCTAAAATGTGCTCAAAGTAATTTTAAGTATTTGTATAAAGTGAAGTCAAATATACAACATTAATCTTAAATGAAAAATAGAATAATGCTTATCCTGCTTTTCACCATCAACTTGAAGGAAAGAAGTCTAAAATTTTCTAAACATTAAGAGAAATGCCTCTAAAAGAATGCACATAATTCTCTCCTAATGTGGGATTAATAAAATATTATAAAATCTGAGAACACATAGTAGCTTTGGTACTATCTAATGAGTCTCAAAGCCATCTTCCAAGTTTCACAATCATACTTGTTATGGCTTAGGAGTGAGGTATTGTGACACTGGCCTGACCTTCTCCAAAGAGCAGCTAAAAGGAGCATGAGATGTGACATCCTTGGTAAAGTTCTTGCCAACTACTGACGACTCACCTGGGGTGGCAGTCACCTGGCTTTTGCCCAGCTGGCTTACTTTAGACCATTGCTAGCAAGTAAAGCGTTGTGGGGCTGCCTCCTGAAATTTCACTTGCCTGTCTTAATATTCAAGAATTTTCAAGTAGTCTTTAAAGTCAATAAGAAGCCTAGCTATTTTCTGAAAGTGAAATGAGATTTAGGCTATTTTACATGACTCTTAGAGAAGAACAGGTATACTGTTGGATGAGATGGGAATAAGTCTGTGATACTGAGCTGTTCTGGGTATTTGCTGTATTATGTCAGACTACTTGTAGTGTATTTTTAGGTATGGGTGAGAGTAACTGTTCTTGGAATAGAAAAGCCCTACTGCATCGAAACACAATGCTGGCAGCTGCAGCCGTGTACAGAGGTAAGGGCAACCACTCTTTCCACCCGCCTCACCAAAGCACTGTGCTGTACCGTGTTGATTCCTTTTGCATTGCCAATGCATTTTCCATTCCCATTAAGGCTCCCTCAGACTTCATGGCCTTGCTGTCAAAACACAGATCCTGAAGCTCTTTTTCCAGACAGCCTTTTCTATCTCCTTACCCTCTGTATTAAGAGTTTTTCATGGAAGGCCTTCTCAGAATCTTACAAGTATCCTGCTACCCATTTCTTTTTGAAGAACATGACTTGTTGAGCAGAAATTTTTTCCTTCTTGCATTTTTTCAGATTTTAACCATTACTTGTCTTTTTAGAAATGTACAGAAATGAGGATGGTTCAGTACCTGCCACATATCAGATCTATTACATGATAGGATGGAAATACCATGAGTCACAGGTAATGTTATCAAGATGGATCATTTTTCTTAGTGGGTTCATGTTCAGCTTTTTGTTTACTAACTTGGGGGAGGGTGTAAATACTAACTTGTAAGACAGCATTAAGGGCTTTAATTGGGGCTGTGTATTATCTCTCTATTTCTAATATCTTTAATCTTTATTATTTTCAGGCAAGACCAGCTAAAAGAGGTTCCGCAACTGTGTCATTTGGAGAACTAGGAAAAATAAACATACCAGAGGGGGAGAAATCACAATAAATGTTTACTCAATGTTAATGTTGTCCAGAATTTTTATCAGAAATGGATAGCTTTCACATTTAAAATTACTATATTTTGAAGCAAGAAGCCCTCTTAAGCTATTTACTCATAGACTTTTCATATAATTAGGAAAACCTAATAACACATCTATAGTAAACATTTCAGTTTCATATTGTTTCTATTTTCATAAGGATTACTGCTGCCTAGGAATTGAGTGTCTTTGCAGATTCAGCCTAAAAGCAAAGAAAATATTTCCCTAAAATTTTTGCAAATAATGTTCACGTGTGTAAATACCTGACTTGATGGGAAACCTTACTCATGCTGACATTTTGTACCTTTTTCTCCTGCTGGTGTTTTTTTCATTACTTCTGTGAGAGGACCACAGCTGTGGAAATGAGAGGAAAAACAAGTTGGTAGGTTCTTTAGAGTTCTGGCTCATTTAGAATGAAAACACAGACTTTTTATAATTACTATTGTAAAGTACGTAAGGGAAAATTTTGTTATACTGTTTTCTTTGCCTTGAAGAGAAGCAGAAGAACATGCACCTTCTCCAGAGTTATGTGGTTTTAGAATTTAGAAGAGCATGTATCTTTATTAAATCCTTCCTCAACTCTTTTTTTAAAACGTCTGAATTTAACCTTATTTCTTTTTTATCTACCTGGTCTGTATGGGACCACCATGGTTTTACACCTCACCCTACCTTGGGTAAGAAGAAAACATTTTAAAGAATTATAGAAGCAAAATCACATGTAAAAGTCTCTGCACAGTGATCAGTTTATTGTTAGGCTTTCCTTCATAAGTTCAGGACTTACTATCCTAATCCAAGTTCACCATTCCATTTTTGTTGAGGATTGTTCAAAATCATTTGGAGATAATCAAGCTCAGACAGGTTAGGATAGCTGGGAAGAACATAGAGGGTGGTAAGAAGGAAGCAGGAGTGCGCACTAAATGTGTTGTTTCTAGTTAGCTGTTTGCTGTCTTTTCCATTTGACCTGGGCACGGCCCCATCCTCATTTTAGGCCTCAGTGATTTATGATAGCATTTCCTTCTGTCTCCTCTCAGTCCCTCTCTCTTCCACCTTCCTTCCTTCCTTTACTATATGAACAGCAAGTTCTTAATGGGTCGGGGCTGTGTCTTAAACTGTACATAGTACATGGTGCTTTGCACATAGTAGATATTCAGTTACATTTTGAATTGAACTGATTATATGAAAAACATGCCCTTTGAAAGACTAAGTTATAGTTAAAAACCAAGGTTTTTGTAGGAACAAAAGAAACTATTTTCTTCAGTTGGAAAAATCATCGATATTTGGAATTGGGATACTCTTGGTAGTTTTTTTGTTCTGATTTTAACACAAAGAACTTGTGAAGTAAAATTTGGGAAGGTTTGCTTTTTGTTTTGTTTTGTTTTTAGCTTAATTTTCAGAACTTGAAGAGAGAGAACAACAACAAAAAACTCTGTGCTAGCCAGCTGCAATGGCACATGCCTGTAGTCCCTACTTGGGAGGCTGAGGCAGGAGGATCACTTGAGCCCAGGAGTTCAAGGCTGCAGTGAGCTATCTGTGCCACTGCACTCCAGCCTGGGCAAAAGAGGAGACCTCATCTTAAGAAAAATCCACCAAAAACCCTGTGTATTCAAGTGCAAACTGATGATGGAGGAATGGGTAAATTCTAGGGGTCTATATTTCCAAAAGGACATGTATTCATATGCAGTAATACTTGTTTTTGAAGAACGCATCTGAAAGTGTTAAAAGTGGCTGTTGCTGAGAAAGGGGACTGAGGAACTCAGCGTGTCTGTGTCATTCTGTTTGAATATCTGTCTGGGGTATAGAAACTAGGAGGGAGACTTGTACTTCTCACATTTTAAACTTCCTGTGAATTTTGAATTTTCCAAGCAAGGATATTACTTTTGCTTATTTAAAGTCAACAGAGTTATATGTGGATGGTGGGGGTGGAACTGAGGATTACTGTACACTGGCTACCTCAAGAACTCCATTCGTTTAAAAAAATTAAGGAAAGAAAAATTAACACAGCTAATTGAGGACTCTTATTGTTTAATGTAAGTGACTATAGTGAAAATATTTATTTTAGTGTGTATGACACTAGTAAAACTTTTTTAGTTAATATGTGTTCAAAGTATGCTATCAAGCTTTTATTGTTTGGAGCCCTCAGGAAATTGATTTTCCTGAATAACCACATTTACCAAATGATTAAGAGCTCATCCTTTTAAGCAATGAAACTTTAAAAAAGTCTCTATCAAAAAATTTTCAAAAATATGTTACATTCTTAAA